CATGGAAGCAACGTAAACGCAGATCAACAGAGGAATGGATACAGAAGATATGGTACCTGTATATTGATACAATGTTATATTACTCAGCCATAGAAAAGAACAAAACGATGCCATCTGCAGCAACATGGATGGACCTAGAGATTGTCATACTGAGGGAAGTAAGTCAGACCCAGAAGGACAAATACCATATGATATCGCTTATATGTGGAATGTAAAAAAATGGCACAAATGAACCTATTTACAAAACAGAACTAGAGTCACAGATGTAGAAAACAATCTTATGGTTACCAAGGGGGAAAGGGGGCAAGGGATAAATTGGGAGGTTGGGATTGACACATACACACTACTATATATAAAATAGATGACTGATAAGGACCTCCTGTATAGCACAGGGAACTCTACTCAATACTCTGTAATGACCTATATGGGAAAAGAATCTAAAAAAGAGTGGATACATGTATATGTATAACTGTTTCACTTTGCTGTACACCGGAAACGAATACAACATTGTAAATCAACTGTACTCCAAAAAAATTAATTAAAAAATAAAATTCTATACAATCTGGGATAACCATAGTAACGCCCACAATTTGGCCCTTGTAGGTGTCTGTTTCTGGCCATGTGTCTTACATCCAGCATTTCTCCCAGCCTGTAAGGGACGAGCAGGGGTGGAGCCCACGCTGGCCTGACATCAAAGCCTGAGCCTGAATTTCTCCTGCTGTCTCCCTGATCAGGGTCATCGCAGGACCGGGTACCTCAGCAGGAGGTGAGGCAAGAATGCAACACAGACTGGTTCTGAGGGCAGGAAGAGGGGGGCCAGGGCTTAGTGGGATCTTGGGGTCCAGGGCATCCTACAGGGGGTGCCTGGGGCACCTGGCCTGGAGGTAAGGACACTTGGGTTCATATAAAGGAACTGTGAAGAGACCAAGATAACAGAGGGTGACCGGGGTGGGAGGTGTGTGAAGAGAAGGGATCCACCAGAGGAGCCCTCATCAGATCTCAGAGCCCTGTCCTTGCCCGTCTCTTCCCTCCCCTCCCTGCCCCCTTAGTCTCTGCCTTTGGGAAGGCTGGTGCGGTGGACTGGAGAGTAGTAGGAATGGCCCTGGGTTGAGCTGTAGGTTCGCTGTGCACCAGCTTCTGGGGGGAAGTTAGCTGGTCTCCAAAGATGACCCCAGATTGGTCACGCCTCTCAGCACACAGTCTCAGACCATAGGGAGTCTGGGCTTGCCCTGTGACTCGCTTTAACCGCCAGAATGTAGAGGAGATGCTGCTGCACCTGCATGAGAGGCCGCCAGTGAGACCAGCAGAGCTGCCCAACTGAGGCTGCTCAGCCCACAGAACCGAGAGAGCCTCAAAGGCTTGGTGCTTTAAGCATGGAGTGTTAGGGTGATTTGTCACACAGCAGTGGATAACTGGTACGCTGTGTCTTTAGGGGAAACTGGTGACAACTCTGGACTACGGGTTTATCTTCTGTAGGACAAGGGGAACTTGTTTGTACTTTAAAGTACAAAGCATTCACTGGCCCTGCCTCATAAAATTTCTGGTGGCAGGGCCCAGAAATCTGCATTTTCACAAGCTCCCCAAGAAAGTGGATGTTTTTAAAAACTCTGGTTGATACACAGGAGTCCCTACAACACTGTGTTGTAAATACCCCAGTGTGAGTTAATCCAGGGTATAGCCCTTCTTAGAGGTACTTACCAGGGGTACTTTCTAAACTGAAGGAATTGCCAGTGTGGTATGCCTGGCAGGTCATGACCTTTCCTAATTCAGCCTCAACCTGCGCTTTCTGCCTCCTCTCCCACAACTTCCCTTTCAGATGCTCCTAGTCCCACTTTTCGCCTGCAGACAGCGTAGCACAGAGGTTTCGCCTGTGGGCCAACTCAGCCTAGCTGGTGGTCCATGGCTTCCTGGAGACGTGCTGTGATCCATTAGTAATGTCCGCCACGGACATAGGCAGGGGAGTGGCGATACCCGTTCCTCACGTTTTCTGACTCTGCCCATCATTCTCCTCTGTGTTGTGCCCTTTGCTTATTTTGTTCCCTCTTCTTGGAAAGCCTGATGCCCCCTTTCCACAGCAGGCTAGAGTCAGGGCTGGGACTAGACTTGGGGTCTCTGTAGCCTGTCTTATTCTACCATCTTACGGCGTCATCCTCACACACGTGGAGCCTGTTCCCACATGTGACACCACCCCGACGGGAGCCTTTCCAGCCTTCATCTTGGCCTGACCTTGTTTCTCTTTCTCTCCATCTCTGTCCCCCTCACCCTCTCGGTCCCTTATCCTCCCCCCCCACCCCCCAGTCCTTTCCCTGGTCGATGAAAGACATCCAGGTCACCCGAAGGCCAGCCTGTTCAGATGGATGTCTCTCTTTCAGCCACGCTGTCTCCCATTTCTTCCTTTTCTTCATTCTTTCACATCCCATTACACCAACCTGAAGTCTTCTTGAACCTGTCTGTGGTATTTATCTGGTTCAGTTTTAGAATCCCTGTTCTAAATTTCAAAACGTTTTCATCTCTCACTCATTAAAAATGAAAGAAAAAGTCAAATAAGTTCCCAAACCAGGGAATGTCCAGTAAATACACCAAATAATCATCTCCTCTCGACAAGAACATTTGTGGGCCTCCTGCTTCACCTTTGAGGCATGGTTTTCTGGGGCTCAGGGCCGCCGGGAGAGGGTAGCTCCCAGCCCCCTGGGAGGCTGTATAAGCAGCTGCATCCGTGTGGCCGCCCCCATCCCTGCCTTGGATTATCATCTGGGCCTCGAGCCTGGAGCCAGCTCCCTCCTGCCTCACTGGGACCCGAGAGCCCCTCTCCACTTGTCACCTGCTGCGGGATCCTTCAGAAAACACATGCTCCCTAAGGGTCCTCTTTTGCATTCCCGCAGCCGCCAGGGCCCACCAGAGGGGAGCCTGAGTGTCAGCGCCGGCCCTGGCTTAGCTCTCTTGTCCTGCAGGCTCCTAATCAGCTCACATTTGCACACCCTTGCTGTGTGCCAGGGACTCTCGTAGGCACTTTCCAACCTCTTATCTCATGCAATCCTCTCGGTCTATTTCTATTGCAGAGTGCTGCTCTGAGATCCATTTACCCTGGGGGAGTAAATTATGCTCAATTTACAGGGGGTCCAGTGTCACTGTTTTTAAGTAGAGGAGTCTGGATTTGAAACCACATCTGTTAGTGTCAAGTCGGGGACCGTTCCGTCTAGATCCCACTGCACAAACCACGACAAATACTGTTTGACGTGTGTATGGTGCTTTTCAGTTCGGAACGTTCATTCCCTAATTTTGCCGCACTTCCCAAACTGTGCTGTGATGGCCCTCTCTGCACCACAGATGATATTTATAAATACAATAATAGTATAATATGAGCTGTTACAGGGAAATGCCCTGAGTGAGGTGAGGGCACAGAGGAAGGAGCTCCTGGTTGCTTGGAGGAGTTGGGGAAGGCTTCCTGAGCAGGTGACATTTGAATCAGGTCTCGAAGGCTGAGCGGGCGTCCACCACGTGGAGGAGAGGAGGCTGGCTGCTGGCAAAGACACAGGAGGCATGGGAGCTGGAGGTGGAAGGGGAAGGTGGGGGCCAGATGTGCTGGGGTTCGAATGCCATGGGGGGAAGTTAGACTCATGCAGCATGGGAGGTGTCCCACTGAAGGTGACCACGCAGGGCTGTCCTTTAGAAGAAGCCCTTAACCCCGCTGTCTAATCCAGTGGCCTTGAGCTATGTACGAGCACTTGACCTGTGGCTAGTGCAACCGAAGGATTCTAAATCGTGTTTAATTTTAATTAAAATGTAAAAACTGATAGTTAATTCTGTGATTGGGAAACTTGTGAGAATGTTTGGCACAGTTTGGGTTTGTGAATCAGTTTTCGACTGTTCATTATATGAACTCTAAAGATAGAAGGGTTTCTCATAAAAACTTTGGAGTCTGAACTGAGATGCATCCCACGTCTCAGATACACACTAGATTTTGAAGATGAAGAAAGATTATACAATTGTTCACCAATAATTGTTTTGTAGTGATTACATGTTGAAATGATACTATTTTGGACATATTGGCTTAAATGAGAAATATCTTGAAAAATAATTTTACCTGTTTGTTTTTCCTTTTTAAAGTCATGGCTGCTGGAAAACTTAAAATGACATAGGGTGATTGTATAATGGGTCGCATTATATTTCTACTGGACACCACTGGTCTGTGGTTCTGATGTATGCAGAGCACCCGGGAGGCCCCCGCACCTGCCCTTTTAAAGGCCCTTCCAGTGACTTTGATGCTGGTTGGTGGGTACCCTTCTCCCAGGAATTCTCCTGTAGTAAGATCCCTGTGGCTACCGGGTGGAGGCTGGACTGAGGGGTGACCCTGGAGGCAGCCGGGCTGCTGATGGCATCGGGTGAGGAAAGAGGCCTGACTCAGGCCTGGCCGTGAAGGAGACTCCCTGAAGGCAGGGTAACCCTCATACAAGCTTCCCTTTCAGGGGTCCCGGTGCCCTCTGAGCGGCCTCTGGCCTGGCCTGGATGCTGCACGTGCCAGGAGCAGGCATGAGTGCTGGGTACAGCCCCCCAGCCTGGGGCAGTGGGGGCCCCTGCAAGGGGCCAGCAGCCCTGCTGGAAACCGCCCTCTGGGGATTAACCCCGCACGCACTGTGGAGACCGCAAAATGCCCCTGGCATGGAAAGGGCCCAACTTGGCCGCCTCGTCTGTCCCCAGCCGAGGGCCAAGAGCACACGGGAAGAGCTACAGAGTTGTAAAGAGTTTCCTTTGCGACTCGCCTGCCCCGCCCCGGTCGATGGTCCTGTATGTGCAGCTGATTCTTTGCTCTTGTTGACACTAAAGGCTCTTTGGGGGTACAAGCTGGTTTGCGGGACGGGGGGGTGGGTGGGATTTGGAGAAGACAGAGGAACAGGTCTCTTTTCAGGGAAGCCGATCGCGCGGGAGCAGAGCCTGCCCCTTCCAGCACCCAACCTGACACCCTCCAGGCGGGGGGCGCCGGGGCAGGCCCTCGAGCCTACCTTCACTATGTCCTCGTTAATGTTCTTGGGGTCCCGGTTCACCAGGTCGATCTCCTTGAAGTGAATGTCCTTGACGATCTGGGCCTCCAGGTCTGTGTGCTCCTCGGCCATCATCGTGGAGCTGGGTGACCTGCGAGAGGAGATCGGAGCCGTGTGGCCAGCGGTGCTGAAAAGACCTGGGGCAGGGACAGCAGTGTCCCCAGACTTGTGCCGCTCGTGGCTAAATAGGCCCCACCCAGCGTGCCGGCTGACAGCTGTCCCGCATAACTTCAGCCTGCTGCTGGCTGAAGGCTCCGGTGGCAGGCCTCCAAGCTAAAATTAAGACTGGAGCCCTGCAGGAAGGCCCAGCGCTCCTTAAAGGGGGCTGCACGGGCGCTGGGCCTCACGCGCGAGCCAAGGGCCTGGTGTCTCCTGGTGCCCCCGCGGTTGGCTGCTGCTGTGGGACCCTGGTATTTGCGTTTGGGCTCCTGTGGGAAGGAGGTGGGCTCAGCCCCCAGCTCAACCTCTTGCTGGGTGTGTGAGCTTGGGCACACCTCGCCTCTCCGGGCCATCCATCATGTCCCCACCTGTAAAATGGGGCCATGATAATAACGATCGGGGCTCTGCCTACCCTCGTGGAAAGGAGGAGGTGAGCTCGTGGGAGAAAATGCTTCAGAACAGAAGTGCTCTCTGGTGGGGATTCTCGTTGGAGCAGTTGGTACCTGCCCTGCTGTTTGATGGCCTGAAGCAGGGCTGAGGTTTTCCCACTTCTAGGGTTTTCCCCAGAGGGGTTGATGGACTGTGGTGTGGGGTAGGTCTGGGGCTGAGACCGGACGCAGACCACCCTCCTCTGCCTTTTGATACCACGTGGAGGGGACCTGGAGTCCATGTTTCTGCCACCCTGTCCCCAGGGACAGCTTAGTGACAGCTTCCCAGATATCCATGGGCCCCAGACACAGCACGGGCATCGGTGGGGTTGCCCTCTCTTAGGTATCTGCTTAGTCTCCCTACATCCTCTTCCAGGTCAGCCATCACCCAAGGGCCCCGCCGCATGAAGGGTGACGACTCTGAGTCTCCAGGGTCTGTGCATCCATTCATCACTGACAGACTCATCTCTTCAGGATTTGCCAACAGCTAGGGATAAACAGACGCAACAGACAGGTTAGGTCCCTCCCTGCCTTGGGGAGCCCACAGCCTAGGGGGACAGAATGATCAGAAAATAAGGAATTGTAATACTGTGTGGCAAGTGCTGCATCAGAGTTATGTTACAAAGAACTTGCCTGAGAAGTCCGTAGGAGGCAATGACTTACTCTGAGGACATCAGGGAAGGCTTCCTGGAGGAGGTAGCTTTAGAGTAAGGTGTTGAAAGACAAGCAGGAGTTCACCACATGGAACATTTCAGGTGTCAGAGGACTGGTAGGAGCCAGAATGCTAAGAATTGTGTAGTGGCTCAAGCACATGCTGTCTGGGGGTGAGGCAGGGGATAAGTCTTGACTCTGGCCTGGGTGTGAAGGATCTCAAATGTCATACTAAAGAGTATAGATTTTATCTAGAAGTGCTGGGAAGCCATTGAAGACTTCAAAACAGCAGAGGGTCTTCAGTAGATTTGCATGTGAGGAAGCTGATGGGAGCTGATTTGATTGGAGCTGTGTGAGGTTTGAGGCAGGAAGACTAATCGAAAAGCTGGAGGTGATAAAGGCTCTTTCAGTAACTGCACTTGGCTACTCATAATAAAGATGTGAAATAGTAGTGGCTTGTCCAAGGTAGGGGCTTTTTTTTTTTTCTCTCTCTCACGTAACACAAATAGGTAGTTCAGAACTATGGTGGTGGCTGCATGACGTCATCAGGCACCAGCCCTCCATCTTTCTGTTCTGCTATTCTCCTGCCAGAGATCTTGGGGATTTTTTGGAATCATTTCCAAAAAGGGCAGTGTGATTTCAGGATGCATTAATAGAGATATATCATCTAGAATAATGGAGGTGACCAAGCTACCAAACTCTGCACTGGTCAGACTACACTTGGAGCCTTGTTTGGGGCCTTGGGAAACTAGATGGTATCTAGAGAGGGTGAGTAAGATGGTGTAAGAGCTTGAAACATGTCTTAATGAGAAACAGAACAATTTGGGATTGGAGAAGAGAAGGCTCAGCAGGGAGAAACAGATGAACTTTACTTAAGTCCCTGAAGACTTAAGGAATGAGACTTGTTCTGGGTGGTCCCAAGGACGGGTACATAAGTGGCACACTGTCGCACTCTGGCTTCATTCAGCCCAGTGCCTGGCTCGTTGTAGGCTCTCTTGATAGTGATAGCTGGGAGGGTTATTCTTAAGGAAGAACTGACTCTCAGCTGATAGGCTGCTCCAGAAAGGGCTGAGCTTCGCGAGGTCAGACTTGTTAAGTCAGAGAGTGAAAGGGAGTCAAGGATTGGAAAAGTAGAGAGCTGGGCAGACTTCGGGGCCGGCTAGTAAACACTTAGGCAGGACTGGCTACAGAATTTACAGGATCCGGTGAAAAACAAAAATGCAGCGCCCCTCGTTAAAAAGAGATTCCAAATTTCAAGGTGGTGGCAGCGGAACATTAAACCGAGCTCGTGGCATCTTCGAAGCGTGTCCAGGAAGTTGACCCGGGTTTCAGGCTCTGTGGGTCATACAGTCTCTGTCACACTGATTCAGCTCTGCAATGCGAAGCCTGAAAGCAGCCACAGACAGTGCGTAAATCAAGGAGCATGTTTGTGTGAAACTTTATTTATAAAAATAAGCCGCCCTGTTCCTTTGCAAGGGTAGTTACCAAAATAGGGGAGACTGGCCCCTGCCGTTGCTCAGGTGATGCCCACCTGGCTTCCAGGTGAGAGAAAAGAGATGAACCTTCGCCGGCCTCAAGGACCAGCAGTGACAGCGCTGTTCAGAAACCACTCTGGAGCGGCTCTGGGGGAGGGTTTGCGTGCACGTGGTGGGAACAGCAGTCACCGTTTTCTTTCGGACCCAGAGCAGGCCCTGATACCCTAGAGCAGCCGGAGCTTCGGCCTTGGGCCTTGTGGCTTCATTAATAGAGAGGCCTGATGTCCAGAGGGGATTCTGCAGGCAGGGGTTTCTGCATCTGCCTTGGAGCTGTGTGGTGGCTGGTCCAGAGCCCCTGTGATGTTCCAGAGACTGGATGCCCTGAAGATGTTTCCATCTGGAACATCATGAGGGGCTAAGATGAGAGAGAGAGAGAGACGCCTCTGCTCGCCCCATCTCTGCTTTGTCTCCTGTAGGATCGGGTCTCTGCTCTGGAAAGAATCCACTCCGCTGTAATTTCCACCTGAGCTTGGGAAGCGAGCTGCATGGCAAGCCCTGGTGATTCAGAGAATGCCCCCACCTCACGGACAGCGTTTAAAACTGGGCCAGCTCAGCTCCTCTGTATCTAGGGAAGCTTTCCTGGGGCCATTTCTTCGTTCAACACAGAGCGACTTGGTGCTGGTGTGTTCGCTGTGCCCAGTGGATGGTGACCGCAGATGAGTGACCCGCTATCTCAGCAAACGCTTACTGGGTGTGTTGGCTCATGGCCGGTGCTGAGGACGCAGCGGAGAAGAGCCCAGGAGCCGGAGCCGACTGCACAGTTCCCGTGAGAGGTAGACACGAAAAGCCAGTGAGCAATGCAGGGTCCGGCCTAAAGCGGCACGTGGCAGGCAGGCGGCGGGTCCTGGAGGCTGTGGGGGGTGGGGATCCACGTGGTCCCCGCCTGGAGGAGTTTGCTGCCTGGTAGGGGATGCAGGAGGCCCCGCAGCCCTGCAGACCCCGCGGAGTGTGATGAACTTGCAGGGAGCTGTGGGTGGACACTCTACCTGAGCATCCGGCCTCTGCTCCTGGGCCATGGCTGTGGGCTGGGCAGAGCAGCTGGAGGAAGTGAGGATGGCTTGTTTTCGCCGGGAAGGAATCATTGCCCTCCTGCCCCGGGTTTTTTTTTTAAAGCAGGGCAGCTTTTAGGAGTAATATTGTGTATGGGTTGAGCTGTGCCCCCCCTGAAAGATGTGGAAGGCATCACCCCCAGTACCTGTGAATGTGACCTTATTTAGAAATAGTCTTTGCAGATGATCAGGTTAAGATAAGCCCATTAGGGTGGGCCCCCATCCTGAAGGACTGTGTCCTCATACAAAGGAAATATGGGCACAGGAACAGATGTGCACACAGGGAGGATGTGATGTGAAGCTACGAGTTATGTTGCTACAAGCCAAGGACCTACCAGAGGCTGGGAGAGTGGCCTGGAACAGATCCTCCCCTGTGCCCTCAGCGGGAATGTGGCCTTGCAGGCACATTGATCTCAGACTTGTAGAGTCCAGAACTGTGAGACAATAAACTTCTGCTGCGTAAGCCATTCTGTTTGTGGTACTTTGCTGCGGCAGCCCTAGGCAACTAGTGGGGTAGAAGGACCCGAACCTTTAACTGTATTACTTTCTTTTTGCTGCTGTAACAAATGACCACAACTTATTTTAAAATAACACAAATTTCTCTCTTACCGTTCTGGGGGTCAGAATTCCTAACATCAAGGGGTCAGCTGGCCAATATCCCTTTTGGAGGCCATAGGGGAGAATGTCCTTTTTTTTGCCTTTTCTAGCTTCTAGAAGCCCCACGTGTTCCTTGATTTTGAGCCCCTGCATCCCTTCAACCTTGGCTCCAAATCAGAGCCTGTGTGCCAGGCCCTCTCCTCCCCTCTGTGCTGCCCCCACCCAGTGCCCCCCTCCAACCCCACACTTCCGGTCTCCTGGAACGCTTTGCTTCTCGCCTGTTAGTGTATGAGCACCTAGATCCCTCTGGAGCCCTCAGCAGCTGGCTCTATGGGCATTCTGGGCCCCCCAGGCCAGGGCAGTCTTTCCAGACAGCAGAGGCTCAGCTGGCCCCGAGCTGAGCAGAACCTACCCGTCAGCCAAAATGCATCTAGCTCCCAGACTCTGCTTCCCTGCCTCTTTTTTATATGAGACTCTCCTGCCGTCCCTCTTTTTTTATATGCATGTTAATATTTGCAGATGAAAAGCAGATTTCGGACTCTACATAAGGAGGAACTTTGCAACAGCCAGAGCTCTCTGGGGATAGAGTAGGGTGGTGTATCAAGACAGCTCATCCAGAGATGGCAGAATCCTGTAGATCTTAAGATCCTGGGCTTCTGAGTCAAGTTGATCTGAGAGGATCTACCAGTTGTATGAGCCTGAGCCTTAGTTTTCTCCCCTAGAA